CAGCGAGTCTTCTTTCAAGTTTTCGACGAGGCATTCTTTGTTGACCGAGCAGCCTCTTTCTACATCAGCGTTGCCGTGAAACAAACAGAGGATGAACTTGATAAAAGACAGCAGCTCTTTGTGATCATGTGAGCAGAGATCTGGCCACAGAACGTCCAGCCTCTGCTCTTTCCTGTCAAAATTTTTCAATTTTTCTTGGTTGAGGCTCGATGAACAGACCTCTATGTAAGAACGATGGGCCCGCTCTGCTTGCAGACCAGTCATCCACTGCTGCTCTGACAGCACTTCAAGTGCCAGGGTCAATCATTTTGGGCCAGCCTCCAGAGACAATGCAAATGTGGGGTCCAAACAGCTGGCACCCCTTGTTAGCTTGTACTTCAATGGTGACCTCTCCACCACCTTCTGACAGCACGCTTTAACAAAGGAAACACAGTCTTTCTTGAATTGGTGCAAAGTAAGCTGTGGCATTTTGGGCACCTTGCGGAGCTCATTCTTCGCAGCGAACCCAATGTCGAAGGTAGGTACGGGTATACAGTTCTCAAGCTTCTCTAAGTCAATCAATCTTGAGCAACTTAGCGGGTGTGTCTGCAGCAACAAGCACTTCCTTCTTGACAATCCTTGCAAGCAGTGACCGCAGTATATTGTGCAGTGCAGTTGAAAGAAAGGGCACCATTGGATTGTCAGTCTGAAATTCTGCCAAAAATGGCTCCAGTTCCTCACAAATTGACAGCATGAAGGCCAGTTTTACTGGCAACAGCTGATCCCTCACTGCGTTCGCAACAGCACTGTAGCTAGAGCATGTAGGCTGCTTCTTTGCCTTCACAGAGCCCTCCACAAACTTCACCAGGTTAGGAAGAAGTTCTAACGCCCTGGTGATTACCTTCCCATTTTCGAGCCACCTGACAGCACAGAATTTGAGGGGAAATAGTGCACTTCCTGTAAAGGTGACGTAGTCAGCACGACGTGCAGGCACACATTTGAACAAGTTGTAGCTGCTGCGAAGAAAGCCTATCACATCCCAGCCAGTTGCAGCATGACCTGCCTTGTATGCTCCATTCATTACGTGCAGCCCGCAACTTCCAATATCTAGGATATTGTGACTCTCATCCTACTCCTTGAGTTCCTCCTTCAGTGACCTCAGGAACTTCATGTTCACATTCGGCCCATCCATTGAAACTTGTAGTATCTTGGCTTGCTTGAGCTCTTCTGTGGCCTTCCTGAATGCAGATGCCAGGTCCTCCGCACACGTGTGCCCCAAGAAGCATGAAGTTAGGTACTGCGTTTTCACAGTGCCATCAGTAGTGTCATCCCAATATCGGACGAGCACATCCATCTGTTGCTTCTGGGTCACTTTGTTCAGCGACTCGTCAAATGAAACAACTAAGAACGGCACACCGGCAAGGCTCGATAGAAAATTCTTACGAAAGTAAGGCGCAATACCGTGGCAAATCGTATACCCTACCTTCTCCTTCCCTAGATGAAGTTTTTCAGCGACTTCACATCCCGGAAACATGAGAGGGAAGAGCGAGGCCGCCGCCACTGTTGACAGAAAAGATACGCGAGTCGCTACCGCGTTTAAGCACCACATTATTTCGGCCTTTGTCACAGCGCTCTTCAGAAGAAAGCCGCTCATCGATGTCTTCGCACTTGTGGTGGGGGCAGGCTCCTCAGGCGCGACTGTCCGGTCTTCGCTACATTTGGCCAAAGCGTTCGTCGTTGGCGTAAAAAAGGACAACATACCAGTTTGCGAGGCGCTCGACCGATACTTCAAACCAGCAAGATGCTTCTTGCTGGACGCGTGACTGGAAACTGCAGTTCCTCCCATGTTGCTTAAAGAAAACGTTTTGCAGCACAGTGTGCAATGAGCACTGTGAGAATCATTCTGCACGGGCTTAATCCAGCTTGCATATTCCGAAACGTTTGGGTTCGTCCAGTCCGAATTAAAGGAGCACTTTCTCGCCGCCGACATCGTCAGTGAGAAGGCTTCTCTTCAGAAAAAAAACGATGAAAACACACCGCCACGGGAAGGTTCCGTCGTTCAAAACATGGCGGACAGAAGAGATGGTCCAAAACAACAAAAGTGTATACCCAGCATGCCCAGCACGCACTGCTCAAGGTTGCCAGGCCACGAAGAAAAAAAGGCCAGACTTGTCAACCTTGGCACTACTGCCCCACTGGCTTGGATTGGATCTGTCCCCGTTGGCTGTTTGCGCCAATTACGGTGAGCTGAGTGCGCGCTCCACGCCGGAGAACAAGTCGCGAGTCATTTTCCCTGACTGGGTTCTCTTTTTGGCAACATTCCCTGAAGATTCCCTGATTTTTCCCGGCGTGTATTATTTCCCTGACAATTCCCGGTTTTCCCGGTCGCTAGACACCCTGCAGCCGTACCGCTTTGCGACATCCGAAGTAGGGAACATCTTTCATAGCAGGGGACCCACGTGGTCAGAGACGGTCAATGGAAGGTTATGTTCCAGCACAAACCCAGTGAAGAGACATTCCGCTCGGATCGTGTCACTATCCGAGTTCCGCTTTGAAAAAAAAACTGTCTCAGCTGCTGCTGCTTTTCTTGGCATTGCACGTGACTTAAGTGTTTCTTGGATGAAACGTGAGCGACGTCGGTTTTGCCTCCGTGAGAAACGCTGATGTCGCAGCCACACACCGCGCAGAACGCAAAATGCTTGCCCTTCCTCGATTCCACGATGCAGAGGAATTCGGATGTGTACTGCTTCAAAAACACCTGTAAGTACTGTTTTCGCTCCCGCTCTTTACTAAGAGCCATGGCTGACAGCAAACCAAGACACCAACACCACTGCTCCGAAGCACGCCAACTCAACCGCTAACAAAGCGCAACATGGCAAACATCGCAAGCTCGATCAACTGAGTGATGGCGATGGCAGTTGGTTTTGATTAGTCTCACCAAAGAGTAAATTTTCTGCTAAAGACAGCTAAAAATTTCCGCAAAACTACGTTTTTGCACGCTTCCAACCGTACAACCGTACAGAGGGGTCAAAATTCGTACATTGTATGGGTAATCCGGAAGACTAGGCAGGTCTGCAGAAAGAGAAATCGGCAACAACCTGCGTGTACAGCCACAAGAGAATTCCAAAAATAAAAGCTGTTTACTTGCCGAATAGTTGGAATGTCAGTTTCTCTTCCTAAACATGTTCTTCGACGAACTCGATGTATAGCGCAGAAATGATTTGCACTAGGAATTTTAGTTCGAGCGCAAGCGGCTTGCGAGAGTAAGCAGCTGCATTTTTTCACAATGGATGTGGCTTGCAGTACGAAGGAACGCAAAAGAGCTCGAGGTCTCCGGAATTAATGTTTACAGGTGGTGTTAACACCTTGATAATGCACGCCACTCCTCCAGGGCATGCCGTCCGAAGGGATTATGCAGCAACAAAAGTCCACTTTTTTTACTTATATTTTTTAACCGTTAGAGATACAAGTCACGTACGTGGTTCAAAGAGCTGTCAAGCAGCAGACTGCAGCTTTTAGACCTGAAAACCACTACAGATGTATTTGTAAAGATAAAAAAATAGAAAATAGCTCACAAAGGGAAGATGTGCTCGTCATTTCTGTAAGCGACCTTACTTAATTGCAGCCTCGTTATCAAACGAGAGCAAATGCCAAAGGTGTTTGATGCTCACCCCTTCCAGAACAAATGCAGTATTGTTTATCTCTCCATCTCTCTCTAATCGTTGCCAATGCTTTATGCTTCATGCATTATGCCTCGTTAACCAATTTTCCGCATTTTTACTGAGCTTCAGCTTGTATTATCCACGAGCACATGCACATCTAAATTATGCGTCGAGTTGCCTAATAACATTAGTTTTTTTTTTTTTTTTTTTTTTAAGGAGAGATGATCCCTCTACCCCCGACTTTTTGAGTAATTCCCTTCCTCCTCATCATCGAGAACCCTTATTCCACGTTTTCACATCGACAATCTCCCTTGTGCCGTGTGCGCGGCACAGATGATGCAATGGCAAGGTCGCTGCACCCCCACCACCGAAGGGTGGCGAAACATACTCGGAAACTCTCCCATTGTATTCGCGACGGTTGAGAAGGCCACACACCGTGGCCATGTTCCTATCATGGCTTTTGGCAGCGCTGCTCAATACATTTCCATTTGCGTTGCGTCGTCTGCTCGTCATCCCCATAACGTCTGCATGCACATTAATAAAAGCGAGCAGATGGCAGCACCAGGAAAATCAGCATGGTGGCACCTGTAGATGCAGTTTCCTTTCGTCTCGAACTTATAACGCCGTCATTCTGCATTGTGTGGCCCATAATTTCTTTATGCTTTATTTTATTTGCTTTCTATTTGGGACCTGGAGCTTCAAGAGCAATGTACTCATCGGTATTTTGCAGCATTTTTAAGATTCATTCTCAAATTGTCGGGGACAAGGCTTTGTAGGCATGGTTAAATAAACACAACTAATCTCAACAATAAAGACAGAACATATCTGATGCTTTGTCCCCAGCAAGAGATGGCATGAAGCGATAGCTGATTTCGCCATTTATTTACTGCTGTGGAAACAGTGGGCAAGTAGCAAGCACGAGTTTGGCCCAAAGTGGGTGGTCATATTTACATGGGTGCTACCATGTTGGCTTCTAACCCCAGCGCTACTACCAATTACAGCCATCGCCGTTTCATGGGCAAAATTCACTGACTAGCGCAACTGGCTGGGAAAGGGCCAGTTATAGTCACGTGGTCATACATGGCAGCGCCCATGCGCTGCTGCAGAAAATTGTCTATAGTTCATAGGTCTATACTTAAGGGGAACTTTTTATGAAATTAAAGAAAAGCTACAGAGGCAAAAAGAGCAAAGGCAAGAACACTGATGAAAAAGGCTTCCCATTCACATCAGCATTACCTTGAGCAGGAGATGAGGAAAGAAGATTTCAAAATAAAACCAAACATATTCCAAAGCATTAAATGTGATCATTCCGCATTCCTACAGGAATGTCATTCAGACATTAAATGCAGTAAAACTTACCCTCTCAGTGACTTTGTCCACTTCATGGTAGAGAAAATTGCAGTTTGCATCAAAATGCTGGTCTTTGAAGGTTCCTTTTCGAATAAGACGATTAGGAAACTTTCCTTTGAGATCCATACAGAACTTGAGCATCTGGTTGTTAGACTTCCCAGGAAACATGATCTTGCCTGTATAAAGCTCGTACAATGTGCATCCAACACTCCACATGTCAATACCAAAGTCATAGCCCAGGCCGAGAACTGCATGTATACAAAAGATGCAATAATAAGATTACCTGAATTAAACCTAATTTATCATAAACTTTATCACTGTAAACTTTAAAGAAACTCTAAAATAAACAACTGAATCTTGTTCAAAGGATTGCTTAATAAATCCTTTGACCAAGCAAAAAAAAAAAAACAATCTCCTTAATTTAGCACAAATATCAACATATCTTGGCTCCCATGGTTTGTAGACTGACTTGTGTCAACTTATGCTAATTTTCCGAAAGTCTGTTGTGCCACTGATATTGGAGTACAGTGAAAAATGTTGGCATTGTAGCATATCCATGCTACCTGAAATACAATAAAAGTGTTCTTCACTGGTAAGTGCTTTTTGGCCTTGTAGTCTATCAGGAAACATGATATTCTATCAGCCAGCATAGAAGCTAGCCAGTATGGTCCCTAGATTCACTTGGTATCTGGTATTCATGCATGTGATAGCCAACCACATTCAGGACAAAAGAAAAGTTGCTAATACAAATATAAGTAGTTCAGATGCTCAGTTGCATACATTTTTTGAAATTTCATCAGTGGATACATTAAAATAATAATTACTGCACAATTCCCACATCCCTTAGGTCTTTATTGGTCTACATTGAAAATATTTCTTACCAATTCCTATACCCAAGTCAATGTTTTAAAGATAGTCGAACCCACTTTAACGATCTATCGGTTATAACGACCATATTTTGGTGCACTTACAATTTTCCTATGCTACCCTTTGAAACTGAGTCCATATACAGTGAACATTTTTCAAGGCCTCCTACTTTTAGAACGAACACTTCCAATGCGGTTCGGGTAAAAATATGGCGCATACGATGCGAAAAAATAAAAACAAACAAAAAAACACTACAAAGCATGTGATAGGCGCGCACTCGCGCGTGCCCTGCTGTATTTTACTTCGACGAAGATATTGTAGACCGCGTCGAGCACCACACGCAGGTTTCAAACTCTGCGAGCAAGGTCACTTACTTTCCAAGCGTTTTTTCATCGGCAGAACGAAAGTGAGGGAAAAGTCACAGTTTCGCCGCAAGGGCGAAGCAATGAATGCGATAGCAATAGCTTAGAATGTAGTGCTGAGAACGGCTAGCAGATCAAAACATGCAGCGCGCCGTTCACCCACGAATGACGCACAAAAACAACACACACAGGACGAGAGCTAACTAACAATGTTTAAAACTCCATGCTTAACACGCTGACAGAAACGACACACGAAACGTAATCACAGGTACAGATACGAGTGCGAACAAACGAATGTTCCAGTTCTTACTTCGCTGTGTTTGAAAAGCACGCTCTTTTCACTAACGGGGCTTGCCCAGCGAGCGAAGCTAGCCTTTGTGGCCCAGGCAAATAATGCAATCATTCGGGTGAAAGGCCAAGGTACACGATTCTCCCCACCGAAGGATAAGCACGAGCGCACAAGCACCTGAACCCCTCACCCTCATGCATGGGGCAAAGTATGCGTGAGATATAAGTGCGTGTTGGCATATCGTGACAAGCTGGGTGCCGAGCGCGGATGGCTTTTTTTCTTTCTTGAGTTTTTCTATATATAGATATGTATACATATACGGTGCATTACGGCACCTTTGGCAACGGTAAAAACCAAAACGAGACTGTCCATATAATTACTATCACAATAAAGGAAAAGAAATAGGAAGTAGGATGAAGACTGAAGTTAGCTTTCACGCGGCGAACTTTTCTGACGCCGTCCTTGAGCGGCATCTACGACCACCGACGATTAACCAACAATGCCTTCGCAGGTAAGAAGCCATAAATTCGAGATACGATAGAATTTATCGCATAAAAGTTCACTGCTATGCTCAGCCTGCCGACACCACGATCTACCACAAAAGGTTTTTAACATTTTGATTAACGGCGGAGACCGGCCAGTTAGCGATAACGACTTTCACTCGGTTGTGGCGTTGCCTTAACAGATAAGCTTAAGAAAACAGCGATGGCAAGGTGACCGGTGGCGATGAGCGGGCCATTTTCACTCATCGTCAGCAACCTTATCACAATCATTTGCAGATATGTGCTGGGCGGAGTGACGGCGGTACAAGCGCGTCATGCTGCCATTCGCAAGTTCGCCGCCACCGCGCCGTGCGAGGTGCTTGCGCGCGTTGCATACAAAATTAATTTGTCTTCGCTGTGTTAGACGAAAAGACTACCGTATTTGCTCGATCCTACCGCGCCCTCGATTGTAACGCGCACCTGATTTCCACGACGTAAAAAAAAACACAAGACATCGATTGCAACGTGCACCCATTTTTTTCGCTGGCCCGCATGATCACACCACTAAAAAAAACGACTCCTTTTTGGGGCGTCTTCCGTTTAAATATGAGGTACGGGGGAAGCTTGCGCCTATCTGACGTGCAATCGAGCATTGCCGTCACTCTTGTTTTACCGTGGCCCGATGTCAGCATGAGAACTTGCTTTCCCCCCTTCTTCTCGACGGTTGTGGTGCCAGGCATGTCGAAGTAAGGAGGCGTCTGATCGGCATTCCCGATTTGCCCAAGCAGGTAGCCGTCGTTGTGCCGCAAGTTTAGGACGAACCTCTGAAAACTGTGAAGCTTTTCTTCGTACTCCTCCGGCAAGTTTTGGCGCATGCCCGTTCGCTTTCGGAGGGAAAAGCCCTTCCTCTTCATAAAGTTAGTTAGCCAGCACCTGCTCGCTTTGAACTGGCTCCGCGTTAGCCCTTTTTCTAAAGCTAACTGCATAGCCCGCACTTGGAGCAGTTCTGTCGTCACGGGCCGCTGTGCCGCTCGCTGCTCAAGCACATACTCGGCGAGCAGCTCTTCAATTTGCGGAAACCGACCCTGCTATGGTCCACTGAAGCCTTTGCGTGAATCTTTGCTGTCGACGATCTTCTGCTTTTGTTTCCGCCAGTCCCGCACGCACGTTTTGGAAACTCCGAACGACCGCGATGAGGCCCGATTTCGGAGGCAGCGGCGGCACCGCTCATGACCCGAGTTTTGATCTCGTAACAGCCTTCGCTATAAAAAAAAAACTGTGTCTCTGTCTTTCTCTCTTTCTCTTTTTTTAATTTGGAGAATGGTGCATCTACATCAATAAACATACATGCATCTTGCTTGACTTGACATATCACTGATGATGCTTTTTTCCCTTGTTTTTCTGTAGCTTTTTCTTTTTTTCAAAAGGAGGGAGATGGCCGTACAGTCACATGATCAGACCGGTTTGTCTTGTAAGTTTTTTTATATATAGGAAACAGACAATTAAACAATATAATTAGACCACTGTGCAGCCATCATTTAGTATTGATGTTTACCATGTAACTTTCAAAGCAGTATGCTCTTGCCTTAGTTGTATATTAGGCTAAATTTCTGTCACAATGGTACCCCGAGCATGCACCACAACCAAATTCCGAACATTATTCCAAGAGCAAATCACACCAGGGCACTTGCAAATGCCAAGCTCTCCACTCAAAAAATGTGCCAGAAGCTTGCCGCTCCTGTCTCAAGCTTTTAATACTACTAGCCTTGCAGTTTAATAAACTCGTTGCTCCATAAGCTTTATTTTAATTTTCTAAAGAAATTTTGAAAATATGAGAGATCAGCACTAAAAGGCTCTCTCACCTATTTCTGGTGCACGGTAAAACCTGCTGACAAGGTATGGTGTGATGTCATTTTCAGCCACATGAGATGCAGAGCCAAAATCACAAAGCTTTAAAACCAGCTTTGTCTCATTGACCTGAGGTGAGAAGAATGAGAAAAGTGCATTAACACCAACAGATCATTAATGACAAGGCACAAAGCTTAGCACCACGCCATAATGTACATTGCTCAGCAATTGAAACGCAATAGTCCGCCCACATGGCACACGGTGCTTTCTTGAAATGTCGTTGAGTACTGAGGACCCCGATATAACTCTTTATGATACCTAATGAAACAAAAAAGACACCCACATAATCCCACAGGGGGAACCCGAGTAAATGCGTCACAGAGTAGTGGGGATATCGCGTGAATGTTGCATAATTGGGTATGGTTTGGGAATGCTTAATTGTTATTTTGCCTGTATTATTTTTATTTATTGAATGTAGGAGAAGAATTGCCTTTAACGAGTGGTGGGACACTGACGTTGGATTGTGCCCCACAACTGGTTGAAGGTACTGTTGCTTGCATCGCATCTACTCAATCAAGAAAAGCGAAAGCCAAGCAAAGACACCCTAGACTGAACTCTGAGCGCGCACTCTGCTGCTTATATAAACACCACAGGCATTTGAGGGAGAGGAGTACAGGGGAGAGGTCCACACCCCGACTGCGCATGCTTGGCTTGCTGAACGCCCAGGGTTGTCTTATCCTTTAATGGCTTCTGGAGCGACAGTATTGCCGGTGTCTGTCTGGCCCGGCACGAGACACGAGTACGCCCAGTATGGGTGTGGCCGCCGACGCCAAAGCGTGACAATGAAATGCTCTGCATTTAAAAGCCTTGCTCCCATGTTGTGAAAATATTTGACTCCTGGGAAAAAACCACAAAGCAGAAATTCCTGAGGAGGCACTCACTTGCATGCCCCTATAAAGTCACGGAATCGGGCACAGCACCTACATGCCCTGGGCCGTGACAGCCTGCTAGCAGAGAAAGAAAAACTCGTGCATTGCACTTTCTGATCAACCTCATAGGTTCAAGGCCATTCGGTCCCGATTCACCGCTTGTGCTGTATATGCTAATGAATGCATATCTTAAGCCTCCATGCTGGCTCCAAATTTGGCGAACTATCGAGAAAAAAAGACACCACATACCTGTGTGAAATCACCTGCATGACATAATTTTTTAGGATGCAGAAACTATCACTTCTTTCATAGCACGGTCTCAATAGCTTTAGCATCCTATTTCCTAATAAATGATGGGACTTTTGCATAGCGACCATTTTGTATTTATGTTGCTGCTTCTCATTTCCCTTCATGCCTTTGGTGAACTGCCACTTCTGGGAATGACTATGTAATACCGGAGATAGTATTGCTCTAGGCATCCAACAATCCACACAACGCTCCTAAATTACGAAATGTCCCAACTGTACTATGCCCATTTTTGCATCCTGTGAATGAATTTTCAAGCTCCCCGTAATACGGTCATCTCTTCATGTCACTCTTCCAGGTGCTTCCCGCAAATGCAGTCGAGAGCCGTGAGGTCTCAATGTCTCAATTTTTTCTTGATATTGCACGAGCCTAAACATTGAACCTCATTGGGTCACTCCATACTTTGCAGATCATTGCTTCCTCCATGAAGGATGCATAACCCCTATTACATTTCCGCTGAGACACATTTTGCACCCGCTTATACAGAAGCACTGATGGAAATACCAGAAAGCATTTGCCTTAGCGAGGCGCGAGAAGTGTGTGTAGAAAGCAAGAAGCCAGCACCACAGGTGCAACATCAACGCCTACGAGAGAGCTAAAGAGAGAAAGAAAGCCCGCAGATCATGACAGCTTGTTTTCCGAAGGACACATACACACGCATGAGTACATGTGAGTGAGAGACCTGTTGATGCAGCAGACACTGTCTGCACAGGGACCATTGCTAGTACCTAATTCCAAGCGCTGTATAGCCTATAATTATGGCAGTATCTCTTAATAATTTAAGCTAAAATGTCCGTCACCTTTAACTATCCACATCATGGACAGGAATATGGAAAAATTCTCAATAAACTAGAAGCTTTTACGATTTTTAGGCATTGCATCTGCAGCAAAACATGTAAATGATGGCAACACACCAGAAGCTCCATCTGTCATGCGACAGGGAAAACTGCATTCACTCAGTAACACTATCAGGTTACCTTCGCAAGGTGTGGTGGCCCAGCAGATTCTCTTTCTCAAATACATCTTTCTTCGTGGAAAAAACAAAAGATTCACCGATAGCTCAAAAAAGCACAAACCTTTGCGCAGTTCAACTATAGCGTTTCGATTGCCAAGTGCTGTACATCAAGTTGGAAGAAAATGGGAATATTTAAAACCACACTAAAGGTGTACTTCCTGTGGGTGACATCTTGTAATCAATTTACAGATGCTCAGCTTGAAGATTACAGTGCTTTCTTTATTAGTTTATGCAATAACACCAGATCATACTCTGACACAAGCCAAAAGGTTTTTTATTATTTTTTTTTTTGCTTGTGCATTATTCCAACATAATATTAAAAATACCTTTCAATAGTTCATCAAACAGACCCCGTCTGTCTGAGTAGCCTTTACATGTTCCCAAAATATGCACTACAGAAGAGAAGGTTTGCCTCAATAACAAGTTGCGCTCTTCAACATGTTTACCATCATGGCTAATCTGGTAAGCTGAAAGTAGTCAGGTACCCAAGTTGACCATGACTAAAAGACTTGCCAAAGCAAAAACACAAACATTTTAAAAAGCTTTCAACAGCAGCAGTATTGGACCTCAGCACATCCATTTTGCTCTGCCTTATGGCTGCACGTGGCAACATGCTATTCAAGTGAGCTAATTAAACTTTCCATCGTGACCATTTGATTGATTTGTGGGGTTTAACGTCCCAAAACCACCATATGATTATGAGAGACGCATCGCGACCATTTCAACCAGCATTATTGCAATAATATGCATATTGAAGCCGGGCAATACCACACTGAAGAAAGCACATTAAAAATGTTCTATGCGGCTTATCATTCTACCATGTACTATCCTCTAAAAAAGGACTGATAATTTTATGAAAATAAGATGGAGTGCTTGTAGTTTGGCTACTAGTAAAAACACTTTCATCCTATTTTTCATTGAAAGTTAGCCAACCTTTTAAAGCATAACTTCAAAGGAGCCCTAAAACACCTCTCCAAGTAATTGGAGATTGAAATCATTTCTGGACTAGTTTGCATCCCACATTTCCAGCCATAAATAAATTTGCATCCCAGATCTCTTGTCATAATTAAATTTTTAATTGTACAATCTTCAGGTATAAGCAGAGTTACATACTATGGAACAGTTGCTCCTAAGGCCTCTCATTGCAGCAGCTAACAACACTTAAGAGATGCATGTTTTTAAGGGTATTTTTTAGTAATGAATGAGTGATAAGGGTACTAGAACTGAAGAGAGAGTCAAAAGGAGGCACCAGCAGGCACAGAGAATAAAGCAAAATACATGCAGAAAAATTGGTGGTGTCAATCTCCCGATTCTCATGTTCCAGCTATTCTAGATGCCCCAATTAGTTGTGCACCCATTTAAGCTCGCATGCCAATCCCCAGTTGTCATCTCAATGCACCATCATTATTGCTTCGTTCTCGTCACTCTTTCTCTACATTTTTGACATGTAGGAGGGGAACTACATCTCTCTTTATGCCACGCTGAATACCCTTCAAATGAGACAATATCTGACATACTGAAGGCAAGAGTCTAATCCATTAAACAATACTATCTGCACAAAGTATATGCACTACAATCAAACCTCGTTAGTATGTACCCTCTTTAGCCATAGTAACGGTTAAACATAGTTGCCACGAGCCCCCAATCGAGTCTTGTAGAACGTAATGCATTCGTCGACTGCTTAAGTCCCCGTGGTTTGACCTGTGTGTACCGGTTAGCGTGTACCCCACGATAACATTTTGAGCCATAAAAGTTTACTGCGCCACTAGATCTGCCGACACCACAATGAGCTACAAAGAAGTTTTCAGTCTTTTCGAAAAGTGCAAAGATCAGTCGAACAATGATTCTGCACGATTGCGGCAATATCTTTGTGGGTAATCACTGGTAAAGTATGAAGGCTAGGTGGCGGCCACCGACAGACGCCCCACTATGACTTATCGCCGACAGCCCTACCACAATAGACAGTTATAGTTTAGCATTAGCATGATATAGTAGCTTAAAGGAAAAGGGTTACCATGCCGCAAAACATTCCCTGCGGACAGTGCGTTAAAGTTCAGGAGGATAGCGCGTTACAGGCCCAAGCTTAAAGCCCCTGTACCTTCGGAAAAGTACAGCATTCTCTTGATCTACACCGCTTCCTCCTCTCCACGCCTCTGATAGGGCGGCTGCGGTCATGTGGTAGCGCGCTCCTCTTTTTTCGGTATTTTTTTTCCTTCGCCTCTCGGCGCCATGTTGAAGGCTCCAACATGCCATTTGCTGTGTATTCGCCCGATGTGAAGTGCACGAATTGTGAAGCGCATGTGCGCGTCTCGCTCGTTTTGTCGCGATGCCGGGTTGCTTTGCGTTTGGCTGCCATAACCGTGACACCCAAGGGAAAAAGTTTTTTGCCATTCCGCGCGGAAAAGAGAATGCAAGTCGTCGCAAAGTCTGGCTCCACAGAATAGGTCGAGAAATCTTCGAGCCGAGATCGGCGCGGCTTTGTGAGGTAAGTGCTCGTGCGTTTTTACTCTTGACAGGTGCCTTGCTTTGCCGTGTGACATATGTGGTGTATTACTTATTCAATGTCACGGAAAAGTTTGTGGAATTTGTCATGCACCAAGACAGTCACTTGCTCGAGCAAGGGACTGTCTTGAACACCAAATGGTCGAAATTTCCGGAGCCCCGCACTACGGCGTGCCTCATAATCATATCGCGGTTTTGGCCCGCATATTATCAACTCTGAAAGAACGAGTGTCATGCACTGCAACACTAGGTTGTTTCCCACATTCTACTAACCTTTCACTGTGATATGCGGATGGAAGGGCGAAGACCGAGCAAGCGTCAGAATGGAAATGCGATAGCAAAAAAAAAAAACTGCGCGCAGAGTTCATCGAAGGTCGTGCATTTACGTGCAGCTCCTCCATCATACTGTGTAATTTCGCGAACCACTTCTGGGTGACAGTCAGAACTTTCTGCAAATTTGGAACATGAGTGGGGCTTTATTTCAGCGGACCGCGGCTCATCGGCCGACGTGTCATCATGAATTAGCGCATCAAACATTCAGCGCACAAGTTTCAAAAAGCTGCGGTAGTTGCAGCAGATGCCTCTTTGACGCGCAGTAGATGAAAGCAATAAATATTCAATTAAAGCGCAGCCATGCGCTTATTTTAATAAACGTTCGTTCATGTTTAGAACATTCTCCGACGCTTATGGTGTTTAGCTGCTGTGATAAGATTTCCACCTAACTTGTTTTCTTTTTTAGGATCACTTTGAAAAAAGTGAGTTTGAGCCACTTATTCTCAACAAATTTGGAGTCAAGAAGTTGAAGAAGAATGCGACACCATCGATATTTGGTCACAGGAAGCAACCCCAACCGAGAAAGCCACCAGCTCAACGTAAGCTGACACGTTGCTATTCTTTATATATGTTGTGCAAGTGATACATCACGTGCTAGAACCTCAGAGTTAGGAGAGTCAAGCTGAGAAAGTAAGGACAATATTCCAGAGCTAAACGCACAAGCACTATCATATAAATTATTTTTAAGCTGCTTAACGCACCCTTTCAATCTGTGTCCTAGGTACTAACGTGTCTGCTACTACCTCAGCTGATTTACATCTCCATATATCAGACAATGGTTACTGTTCAACACTCACACCTGCCTTTTATCTCACAACATGTATCCTTCATGCAGGCGCTGTGCAAGAGGAGGTTCACAATAGCCTGAACCCTTCATCATCACAAGGTAAAAGGAGTTGTTTACTCTGCAGATGACAGAAAGTTAACGTGCTGTCCTCTTTTTATGATCTTTGTAGCATTACTGGTTCCTGTTCTGACTCTGGACAACCTCAGTATTCTTTCCTCGGTAGCTTCTCAGATTGAAGGTAGACTTTCTTATCCTTGAATTTGTACTCGGATTAAAGATAAATTTTTTCTGTCATTGAACCTAAAATTGAACCAGTGTTCGTTGTTGCTGTTTATGCTCTTTCAGCATTACCTGCTCCTGTTCTGACACCGGACAACCTCGATCTTCTTTCCTGGGTAGCTTCTCAGATTGAAGGTAACTTTTTGTCCTTGAAATTATACTCAGAATGGTGGTAGATTTTTCTATTTTTTAACCTATAATTAAACCTGAGTTCCTGGTTACTGTCTACGCTCTTTCAGCATTACCTGCTCCTGTTCTGACGGTGGACAACCCTTCATCATCGCAAAGTAAAATGGGGTCGTTTACTATGTAGCTCCTCAGACTGAAGGTAGATTTTTTCTGAATTTCTCGTTAGTACCGCGTGTTCCAGATGTACTTTCAAATCTTCATGCAGGTAAACAAGACTCTGCTGCAGTCTCTGGTAGCCTTGAGCTTCATTCACTTGACAATTGTGAGTGCATGGCTTGACATCACAAACGGCGTGGCTTGACATCACAGCTGCCACGTAAATATTTCTTACCGATGCAATAAATAGCGCGTCGTGTTTACAGTATTTTATCTCAACCTTTTTTAAGTAAACCCAGTTACCGATATCCACACCAGATATACAGGAAAACGCTACGCTTCGAAAAGAACTGTGAACGGCGTGCAGTTTGCTACAAATTGTACATCGTTTGCAGCTCTCCTGGCGCACTATAAGGGAGTTAGAAGGTGTGCACACCCACACCAACTGGGAAAATGAACGCAGAAATAAAAAGAATCATTACACACAGCCGTATGCGAGACATGGCACGCGGCCACGGCTGGACTAGAAAGGCTATGGCTAAAGTGGCAGCGCCAGCACGCAACCGGCCTGAAAGCTTCACGCATCCACATAGAGCGTTCGAGGGGGCGCTAGCGTTGCTCGCGAAAGGCGCGCAGGAGAGGAGGCGGCGGACGGGAGAGCAGTTGGCGCTACTTTTACGAAGTAGAGGGACTTCAGCCCAAGCTGGGACGGTGGAGCCACCTGGTACAGTATAAATGCGTTAAGTGAAACGTAAAAAAAAAAAAACGAGACTGCTTGCTTATATCTTGGCGCACAGCAATTCAACTACTTTTTTTAGTAACAATGAAAGTAAATATGAATCGCACACCAAAAGCAACAATTTTTGTGTTGATTTGTTTGCACTGATCTAGTTAGGCCTAGGGTCATTCAAAATGGGAAGCCGTTTCAAAAACAAGGCTAAGTTATCCGTAATACTCTGTCGTCTAAGCTACCTGAAGACAAGCGAAAAAAGCGAAGTTATCTTATACAATTGTATCCATCCCCACCTATGCTAAACTCAGTTCGAAGAGGGTGTCCAAGACCACCACCACGTTTTCTGTACAGTACGTAAACCACACACACACGGTCATGCTAACCCGAAAAATAGCCTGCATGCAATTTTCGATCCTGCTATTCTGCTAAGCGCGCCGTCCTACTAAGCCTACTAAATTATAACTGTCTAATAGCTGTCTAATAACTATCTTCAGCTATCTACTCAGGCACTTGTGTAATGTAGCGCTTATTTAAGCCTACTACATGCATTTAATACGCGGCAGGCTGGACGCCTTAGGCCACCAATCGCTGCCACTTTGTTATGCAGCACCGCATTCAAGCATGGACCACTTCGTAGAAATGGAAGAAGCTCACTGTTATGAAGTTCAGCAATGCAGGTCGCAGGCACAGAGAAACCTCGCTGCATTGGCGCTATCACGCTAAATGCACGCGACTGGTACAGCAAGCGTACCACTATTGTAATCATACTTTCAGCTTCATTCGACGACAGCCTAAATGCGCATTAATTGCTGGAAGCTCGTCATCGCCGTGATAACCCAACATGCTACTCACTGGATTCGTTGTTAAGTGGTAAACACGAACACGGCACATGTGCATGACGTGGTACAGCCAGCGGCCCAGCCAGCCAAACAGTAACAGCATGAGTTGAGTAGGCAATGTGCTGCATGCAACTAGCTTCGACACGATCGACTCCATGTATACGGTCGTACCGCGTTTCAATGAAACTGTCAGTTTTCTCTTCGTAGATGACCACGCCACAGACGCATACACATGCATCACGAAAAGCCGAGACTGTTTGCTCTGTCGTTACGTTAGTGGCTGCAAATCAAAGGCCCTGTAATAGTTTCGAAATGTGCCTTGGCCTCAGCACCGTGCCAACATGCGCAATTGGATGGTCGTACGCGAAAGTGCCAAAATCTTTTCTGCACTCTATCAAAATGAAAGGGAAGGCTTTGTGGTGGGTATTTTGCTAAATTTGGCATGGCATTGTATTTATTTCTTCGTCATCAGGGGATGCAAATTTGTACTTTGTGGTTAATGTGTACTGCACTTAGTGTGTAGTTATGCTGTGTTCTCGACAGGTACATATTAACGAGGTTTCATTTATTTTTTGGCAGCGTTGAAGGATAAGTGAGCCCAGGCAAATGAACAACTGTTGTGTACCATCTAGCATAACTAGACACATCGAAGTAAAATGCCTGTCAAGTTCTCACTGTTGGGAGTCATCCGTGAAATCAAAGGATGGAGCCAGGTGTGGAAGTGGCACCTCTATAGTGCTGATGCCACCTTGGAAGCAACCAATGCAGTGCACGAGCTGCACAATCGGGAGGAAAGTATTTCCAGTAGTTACACCCAGATCACCAAGATAAGTCGAAATGTAAACCACAGAAATACTAACCAGTGTTTCAACGTGATGCCATACCCATGAAACAATGCTGAATCTTCATTTTTCACCTGTTCAAGCAGCTTGCACATGTCAAACTGAACACTCTTTGGCTTTACTTAATGGCCTTCAGTCACATTAACACTGCGAATATAAGGTGCAAGTCGCCAAAACACGACAACAATACACGACGACACGACACGGACAACAATGTGCATGCTGCCATGGCCACGCCTTCGACACGACACATCTCCAAAGAATTGATATTTAAAAAAAAAGCCTCAGGGTGGAGCCGGCTGTCTACTACTCTCTAACAAAGGCTTTTTTCGTACTATTTCCAAGCTGCCCACTCTGGCTCGTATGTGTGATGTGTGCAAAACTGTTCCCGACCCTTATCAGTAGAGAACTAAACAGCCCTTCAAAAAGGGTGCAGTGAAAACAATGGAACGACGCCTGTTATTTTCACTTCATCCTGTATGAAGCACTGTTTAATTTCATTCTGACAGAGTATTAACCAGTACATTTCTCGTGGTTACCGCACTTAGCACACTGTAAACATGCTATGGTCATGTCAAAGGTGAATTGTTGCTGTAACAGACCTTAAGATCTGCATCAGAGCAATAATTACAAGCCACATCCCGAAATTTGAACAATTTTGGTCTTCTTTTGAACCAAACCTGAAGTTTACAGTTTCGTACTTTGTAAAAAAAAGAACAGTACTTCACATACAACTGAATAAAATTTCTTAAATTTAAAATGTGACCTAACACAATTCATTCAGACAGGCTTTATATAAAGTTATGCCAAAATGTAGCAAAAGTCTATTTTACCAGAATACTCCATCAAAATCAGCACAGGGCTGCGAAAAACAAAGTCACAAAGACAACAGAAAATAGTATGAACAAAACTTACCAAAATGTTGTCAGGTTTGATATCAGCATGTAGGATATTGCATCTCTTCAGTAGTTTGAGGGCAAAAAACAGCTGCTGACTATAAGACCGCACTGCCTTTATGTGCAAACCGACATCTTTGCCATACTTCTTCAGTACCTCTCTAAGGTTCATACTGGAAAAACAAGATGAAGTCTTCGAATCTCAAAGTATAATATTGATGCTCGCTCAAAGAAACTTACATCATTACTCTGAGTTGGCAAGAGCACCTCAAATTGAGCAAAAGAAAAACACAGACCCATCATATTCAGGGCCTATGGGGGCAAACATTACTTTCAGTTTAACATAAAACATTATCAAATATATCAATTGATATAATGCATGCACACCTGCAAAGACATAGAAACTAAAGATATCTATGAAAAGATGAGGGTAATGCGGCTGAGTGATAAATGAAAATTTATGATTTGATTGATTGATATGTGGTTCACTGTCCCAAAACAACCATATGAGGGACACCGTAGTAGAGAGCTCTGGAAATTTCGACCACCTCGGGTTATTGAACGTGCACCCGAATCTGACCACACGGGCTTACAGCATTTTCGCCTCAATCGAAATTGCAGCCGCCGCAGCTGGGATTCGATCCTGCAACCTGCGGGTCAGCAGCAGAGTACCTTAGCCACTAGACCACCGTGGCAGGACGTGAAAATTCATGCCTGACAAGAGAAAATGGTAATTCATTCATATACAGCCCCCCCCCCCCCCCCTCGCCTGCTTTTTAACACTCCCCAGTATCAGGTAATCATGCCCACACCAGCCCTTGCCAAATATTCACTATTTCAAATAATGACCACACTGTTGGAGCACTTGACATGGGCTGCAAAATACACACATTCATTTACAATTCACCATGAAAAAGTGACGGTCCCTAGGAAAAGATAGAAAGAGAAAAAAAGGGGGTGGCGAACACACCCGTAACAACCATCTAGAGCGCAATGTAATTTCGACGTGCGTGCACGTTCGGCATAACAGTGCTACACTAGGGAACGCGCAGCACTTTACAGTCCAACGGACTTGGCAGCGACCAGCGTGCCCAGGCTGCAGCAGGCGTGAGATGCAACACACAGCATTTCACAGTGACGACATTACCTAGACTTCACCATGTCTGCGTCCTTTCATAACAGACAGCTGATGTGCTCAGGCGCGTATGCGTCAAGGTCACCTGGTACGGCATGCAAGTAAGAGTAAAGAGTGCTCAGTTTTTGCATCAACGTACCGATGAAAAAGACGTTGCCAACTCCCGCCACTGCTGGCTGATGCGAATGCCGGACTATAAAGGACCTTTTAAGTTTCACCTTGGATAGCAATATCAACATTCCCAAGCGCATGAACACATAACATAACTATAGTAAAGGAAAAGGTTTCTGTTATCTTCAACAACACTTTTACATGCCACGCACCCATCTCTCTAGGAGGTGGCAGGAAAAGGTGGAGAGGCTGCAGCGTGAGACAACACAGAAATTTTGATTGTGCACTCTTTCAAGAAGTGCTGTGTATCCAATGCACTAGATGGCACAGAGGATTGTGCACTGTTTGAAGTCAGCGACGAGGAAAGCAGCGATGACTCAGAATGAGTGCGGCATCGGACTACAAGCAGCGCGAAAAAAAAAACTACAAAGAAGCACACACAACAGGACTAGCAGCTGTATGTTTCTCAAGTTATTTGCATCATGAACCGACTGATGTTTCATCTTCATGTTTAATAAATGTTTCCTCTTTGTGAACGCAGCCTGTTTGGCCTACATTAGAGATAAGTTGTTTTTTTTTCCCCTGGTTTCGAACTTAAGGGGGTTGGCTTAGAATCGAGGTCGGCCTAGATTCAAGTAAATACAGTAGTATTTCTATATTTATATAAGCAAGTGTAAAGAATAAAACTGCTTACCTAAGTGGCTCAAAAACAAGACACAGATGCTGTTTGTGAAAGAAGTGTCGAAACAGCCGAAGACAATGAAACTTGTCATCAGGGTCAGCATCGTTGAGACGTCTCAGCATTTCAAGCTCCTTGAGCCCTGTGCGATGCCTGCAAAAATGTGGCTTTTGTAAGTTTTTCAGCACTACAGTATGCACAATTAAAAGAGCTCAGTGAGGATTTCTTTCGCACAATCATATTGGTGGTGTTTACTTTTTAGGGTAGATTATCCTACAAAATGTGGCTTGCACAAAAAAAAAAGCTTACTCGCTTATTTATTAAAGAGGTACTGACACAAAATCTTGCGGCCAAGATAGCTGGCTGAATCATTTCCTGTGAACATGCGCATATTATCTGCAAATTATCAACAGTAAATATAGCTTGGAAAGTATTTCAGAGCAATATTGAAGTTTAAATTTTGAAGGTACTGACATAATCAAAAGGGACCCCATGGAGTCCCTCACGTTACCACTTGCAGTCCCTCCAGATGCGTCACCACCTGCAGTCACCAATTTACTTTCCTCACATCCCCATGCTGCAGTCAATAAAACACATTATGATGACTTCATAGCCGCCATTTTTGTGTTGCCTGTTTGTGCCAGCAGTCTAAACTTTTCGGCGCCAGTTTGCGACTCCATAGCCACAGCGCATGCATTAAAATTTTTGTGTTTGGCCACACTGTTGTCTCATTTCCTGTTCCAAAGGACTTCTTGGTGTGGACCGTGCTGAAGTGTGTCACAGTTCTGTGTGCTAAAGTAGTCGAGAGCTGCATACACTAGGTGGCGATAGGTGAACCTGGCAGCTTGTAGTTTTTCGAGCTCTCTCAAACTCAAATTGAAAGTGGTCGGCAATGAGGAGCCTGTATTTACAATTATCTGTCGTGCGCTGCAGCAAAGTATGTGTCCTGTTATGATTACCGGGCCCCCAGCAACACATTGCAGCAATAAAATGCGAGGCCAACGTTTTTTTAGAAGTACCCCTTTAAAACAAATTATTTATTTGAATTACTTTTAATTTCTTAATTCCAAAATTTCTTAAGCTTGTCTAAGATTATTTGAATAATTTCTCAATGATGGCAATTCTGGACTCATATCAATGACCACTACAGCAAAAGCTGAATAATGCGACTCTCATTACTTCGGAAATTTGGTTAACTTGGTAATGTAATCTGCCAACTTAAGATTTGGGTTGTCCCAGCTAACATTAGCCTGACATAAAAAAACAAACTGACTAGAATAATGGATTCTGCAGTTATTTGCCCTACAAAGGCACATGTCCTTTTCTCAACATGACAAAATTCGTCAGTAGCAATTCTTCGGTAACAAAGAAAAGAAAAAAAAAGTTTTATTTGAACAAACAACTGCCTGGCTAGACTGTCATGAAAAAACACGGGCACAAAGTTTGCGCTACTGCCGACTAAAGCAGGCATCAAATTATGACCACCACTTGACCTCCCCAACTAAGCGCACAGGGACAAGCATTGGACACAGTGGCACTGCTGTTTTAATATGATACTGCCCTCAATACTGCCATGTGGCAGTAGCGTGTTCCAACAACTTATGAAGTTTTTGCTTAGCAGCAAGTTGCTGTAAAGATGTGCATGTATGCATCATACACATGTATTGTGGAAAGCTAATACATGTGTCTGCCTGCACTGTAGCTATGTCAGTCAGTAAGTGTTCCGGACTTTGTTTCAAAATACTCTATCCTTGGCACTGCCACCACACATTATAGGGCAGACGTGTGACAGAGCCTGCATCTTTTCTGCACTTTGGCAAGAATAAGAGAAGGCTTTGTAGTAGGTATTCAAGGCAATTTACTTGCTTTGGCATTGTGTATGTTTCTTCGTAGGCAACAACAGCATTACGAGATGCAAATTTGTGCTTGGTGGTTACTGTGTGCTACTACCATTCAGTGCGTAGCTTTGCTGCGTTCCCAGAAGGCAAAGGAGAGGGTAACGTGGCAGGGACGGGAAAGGTGAAAGCGTGACACGGGCGCGTCGCAGATCGGCATTTGAGAGAGAGCAAACATTCCATTGCAGCCTTTTCTTTCCTTTTCATTTCCTTCGCGCGCACCGTTGAGGTGTCGCAGGTGCCGCGGGATTTGGCGGGGTGCTGAGAGCATTTTCGGAGCGCAGTATGTTCGAATTAACCGTCGCAAGTGCTTGCGCGTTCGAATTACCGGCCGTTTTCACCCATTGGAATACACATAGCTTTGACGGGACCTCATCGTGAGTAAGAAATAACCCGAAGTTCGAATTAAGCATGTTCGAATTATTGAGATTCGACTGTGTGTGTGTGTGTGTGTGTGTGTGTGTGTGTGTGTGTGTGTGTGTGTGTGTGTTGTGTGTGTGTGTGTGTGTGTGTGTGTGTGTGTGTGTGTGTGTGTGTGTGTGTGTGTGTGTGTGTGTGTGTGTGTGTGTGTGTGTGTGTGTGTGTGTGTGTGTGTGTGTGTGTGTGTGTGTGTGTGTGTGTGTGTGTGTGTGTGTGTGTGTGTGTGTGTGTGTGTGTGTGTGTGTGTGTGTGTGTGGTGTGTGTGTGTGTGTGTGTGTGTGTGTGTGTGTGTGTGTGTGTGTGTGTGTGTGTGTGTGTGTGTGTGTGTGTGTGTGTGTGTGTGTGTGTGTGTGTGTGTGTGTGTGTGTGTGTGTGTGTGTGTGTGTGTGTGTGTGTGTGTGTGTGTGTGTGTGTGTGTGTGTGTGTGTGTGTGTGTGTGTGTGTGCGTGCGTGCGTGCGTGCGTGCGTGCGTGGTGTGTGTGTGTGTGTGTGTGCGCGCGCGTGTGTGCGTATGTATATATATATATATAATGAGATCTAACAGACAATAATGCCAAGGAATGTATAGAGGAAGTTATTAGAACCAATGTAATGTAAATAAGAAGAAAGAAGAAAAATGGGTGAAAAATAACCTGCCGTGAGCAGGAATCGAACCTACGACCTTCGGATAACACGTTCGATGCTCTAACCGCTGAGCTATCACGGCGGCGATTCCCCCAGCCACTTTATTGGGTTTATATGTGAATTTAAACGTGGGAGTGTCAGTCAGCGCCATCTGTAGCCATGGCATCGAGTGTGGAACACCCTTTTATTTTTGTGTGGCGTCACGTAGCACGTGAACTTATTACGAGCGGGCAGCTGACCAGTAGTCCCTCGTATACAACCTAATGGCACCAAGTCTGCCAGTACGAGACCCTTGTTAATGAATAAGGGAAAGAAGTGTATACCTAAGGGCTCGTTTTCCGTGTTTTGACACAATGAAATCTATATATATATATATATATATATATATATATATATATATATATATATATATATATACCAGATTCTTTGAACGTCATTCACTCTGACGAAGGCTGGTCCACCAGCTGAAAACGTTTAGTAAAGACGCTTCCGTGAAAGTTTCGTCGTCTCTTTCTTGCATATATATATATATATATATATACGAGATCTAACAGACAGTAATGCCAAGAAATGTACAGGGAAAGTTATTAGAACCAATGGAATGTAAATAAGAAGAAAGAAAAGTGGATGAAAAAATAACCAGCCGTGGGCAGGTGGTTATTTTTTCATTATTTTTTCATCCACTTTTCTTTCTTCTTATTTACATTCCATTGGTTCTAATAACTTCCCCTGTACATTCCTTGGCATTACTGTCTGTTAGATCTCAATAATATTGTGTTAAAACACTGAAAAACGAGCCCTTAGGTATACACTTCTTTCCCTTATATATATATATATATATATATATATATATATATATATATATATATACGAACACTCAAAGATGCGCCTACGTGCGCTTATCTTTCACGCGTACTTTGCTCGGCAGAGTAGAGAGAATCGTGTGCCTTCGTCTTTCACTGGAACGATTGCGTTAGTTGTCCGGCTCACAAAGGTCAATTCGTTATCTGCACAGGCCCTGTTTGCGAAAAGAGCCCGTTTTTCATACACAGCGTAGTATAACAACTCTGACACTTGTTACTTTGTACTCATCTTTATCTGTGATTATGTATCGTGCATCGTTTTTATTTGAACAGCGCGTTAAGTATCGAGCGGTAAACGTTGTTAGTTCGCTCACATCATGTGTGTATCGTTCTCATGCGTCATTTGTGCGTGAGCAGCACACTGCACGTTTCCATCTGCTTGCTGTTGTTGCTGTTGCATACAAGCAACAAAGCTGTAAGGGGAGGCACGGTCCGGGGCGGCACGAGTGGCCGTACCAGATGCACGATCAGAGTAGCAATGGACCTTTTTTCCCAGTGCGAAGGGAGAGCTTTGAAGTTGTTGCATGGCAATTGTCGGCAAATTAAGTTGACCCACTTCTAGCAATAAATTTTCGTTCTGCTGGCCATATCACAGTTTTTATGTCTCATACTCGCGGCAACGAAATTCTCACGAAAACGAATTTTTTCGGTTTCCCCGGCGATTTCGTTATTGCAGGTTTCGACTATAATACAAGATCCCCTTCGAGTTGGATATATCCGCGTTCGACTGTAGTCGTAAAGGCAAGGTACAAGCTGCGGTGTATCTGTTGAAGCTCTTCAGACAATATGAAGTTTTGCAAGGCAACAAATAAGCCCAGAAAACAAAAGCTATGTACAACAAAGGCTTGTAACAGCAAAGGCACGTAAAGGCACTATGTAGAAACTTGAGGTCGATGACTATGAAACGAAGGTGCTTGTCAGGTAAAGCGGGCCTTTACTCACATGACTTCATTGTTTCGTATAATCTTTACAGCAACGTCCTGATTTCCTCTTGCCATGTCCCTTGCTCGCACCACATTGCTGAAGACTCCTTGACCCGTGTAGCCATAAACAGTATATCGTGTGTCCAGCACTTCACCGATGCGAACACCTGGACAATAAAAGAAAAAAAAAAAGACTACTTTAACTTTGAGCTGCCTATTATAACAGGTAGAAGAGTACATGAGAGTTGAAGATAGTTATTTGTAAGACACATTTTCCAACAAATTCTGCTTTTATTTTTGTTAGTAACATCATGGGCTGCATTGAAACTGGTGAATTTTCGTGTTCAAAAGATAGAACGGTTACAATTTTTCATATATCGAACTAATACAAGATCCCCTTCGAGTTGGATATATCCGTGTTCGGCTCTAGTCGTAAAGGCAAGGTACAAGCTGCGGAGTCTCCCGGACAATCCGAGAGACTTTGCAGGTATGCATTGATAGCTAATAAAGGAACATTCTATCATAGAGATTGTGACATAACAATGAGTGTTCTTTCTTTTTCATTATACAAAAACAAATTCAAGTTGATCTGACTATGTAACCATGTATTTCGGCTAGACATATTTTCTTGCTCCGTCTGAATCTACATGTTGAAACAGCACAGATGCTTTATTGAGCTTCAATTAGCTGCATGTTGGTGCTCTTTTCGTCCGTGGCTTCTTCCTTTTTGAGCAACAAACTTTCATAATGACCTTTAAGCATCTGACGTTACTTACGATAATAGCCCTCTGCATCATCCCAATTGTCTGTAAGATTCGGATTTTCTTGAGCTCGCGAAGATATCTTCTGAACTGAGTTGGGACTCTGAAAGAGGAAATTTTGTCCACAGGTTACAAATTCAAAATTAAAACAAAAACAAAGGGACATCTTTTCTGACTAGCAATAATAATATAAATGTACATTTCACTTACAGAATAATTCTCAGAAAACATGTCCTCTGAGAACATATCTAACTGCTTCTTTTTTTCTTGACCTAGAGAAAAAAATTCAACGAGTATACTGGTCAACTTAGGCTGCATTAACACTCGCAAGTATCAAAAATGAGTGAATAAACAATAAAGTCCAAATACAGCCAACAATGTTTTGTAATAGTGTTTCAAAAAATGTGGATGTTAGAAAAACTTCCCCACCTGTGTCTGTTTCATTGTTGCCTTCTTGAACCATCATTTGGCGCTTGGCCAAAATCGCAGCCTCAAAATCAGTTGCGTCTTCACTGTTCTCATTAATTTCCGAGGCCTGAAGGAAAAATATACCAAAGCTATATGCCACTCTCTATCGAGACAAGGCTTTCAATGCTCCACAAGCCATACATAAGAACCAGTACCTGAATGCCAGAGCAACACTTTGGCAAAGATCACTCCAGAATACCAGAATAGAGAAGACATCTATCACCTAAGAGCTTTTTGCTGCTGCTGTTACCATCAGCTCTGGAAATGAAGTGGTCCCCATTCCATGCCCTTTTTATCTCCAGTCCACATTTCTGGAGTAACTCATTTCCTCACTTCTCTAACATTAAAGGCACACTGAAATGGTTTTGAAGATATATAAATGCATTCAGCTGGTAAAGCACATCCCAGGGGTAGAACAGGGTACATGGGTTCGGGAGAAGTCCCGGGGGCAAGCAAATATGCTTTTTGAAGCAGTTTTGGAGCAGGCTTGAAGCAGCCAGACAGACGTTTTGGAGCAGGCTTGGAGCAGCCAGAAGGGCTTTTTCGAGCAAGTTTAGAGCAGTAAGAACATTACGAGCAGATTTAGCCCCGTTCAAAGCCCTTGTGAAGCAAAATTTCTTGAATGCTGCATTTTTATTAACTCAGCTAAATTGTGAAATAGCCTCATTATTGCAACATAAATTATATAGACACTCCTGGCGGGTTTTTGCTGTTGCTGTGATGTCCCGTATAAATTCCAAATCGATAAGATACCCCCTCACATCGCAAGTTCTATACGTGGGTAAAACCGTGCTAGCAGGGGTGACGAACGCGGCTGAAGTAGAGCCGCTCAGAGCGCACGTGCCATAACATCCGATACCCTTGCCCAGAAGGCCTGTAAACGCAGCAGAGAAGCACTGCACTTGTCTTGGAAGAGCATGAAAAAAAAAAAAAAACATACGGAGAGGGTTGGACAGGTGTCGCTCGAGCAATAACTATAAAATTTGCTTTTCAGGGTGCGGTTGCAATTGCTGGCGCGTACGCCAGCTTGGCAGCCATCAGCGGGTGACACGCGTACACTTCTATGTGCTGCACTCTCATCGCGGAGACTGTTCGAAAAGTGTTGCTGTCCTTGAGGTGGCCGTATTCTTGTGCAACTGGCATTTTTGTTTAATGCCGGTGTTCCCCATGTCACATATTTCAGTCACGGATATGACGTAAAATATATACCAACATATTGAAAAGAAAAAAAATGAGAAGAAAAAGACCCACAGAGGGGCTTCGAACCAGCGACCTCGCGCTCTTCAGTGCACGAAGCTATCCACTAAGCCACTGAGCGAACCTCCTCCTACTTTTTACGGCGAGCCATTTATATACACCATGTACCACTGGCGGTCCTCAGAGCTCAGCAACTTCAGCACATTTTTGTCATCAGTACCGAGATGGCACAATGGGCGCACTAAGGTGCGCGCGCTTTAAAGGTCATCGTTTCGCGCCACCCTTAGCGTCGTTATGGGCGCGCGCATCGACATGGCGTGAGATGTTCTCTAGCGTGGTGGCTCACTCGCGCGCGCTTATCTCGCGATTTGGGTGCTTTGTACCTCCTGTGCTTTGAAGTTACAGGAGTTAAAGAGAACACGAACGTCAATTCGCTCACTGCTGCGGCTGCTTTTACGAACAGAGCACGGTGCTCATACACAAAGAAGTAAGAATGGTAGCAGTCATTCGCGCCCGTCTTAAGTGTACCTGTGCATCCCATTTCGTGCGTCTTTCTTTCTGTTTGAGCAGCATGCTTTAAGCATCGAGCTGCAACAGTTCGTCCACACTCGTCCTGTGTATGCTCATTATGTGCGTGCTTCCTAGTTGAAGTGTGCGCTGGAAATTTCTATCTGCTTGCCGTTCTTCATGGGACATTGCGATTTGTTACTGTAGACTTTAATTTTTTTGCTCTTGTGGTAAAAGAATGCGCAATGAACACTCAACTACCTCTGCGAGAACACGTTTCACTTTGGTGTTACACCGATTCCTAAAAAGATGTATCAACCACGTTTTCTTTTACGTGAACGTGCGAGCATCAACCGCGGAGTTGATAAGCACGAAGCAAAGCGGCCAAATGAATGAGAATACGCACGTACGCTCGATGAACAGTAATGTGCATCTGTTTTTGCTAGGCTGTTCCCGCAACCAGACACCACCACCCCTTCTTTCGAACAACAATGCTGTCATCCTTTTGTTTCTGTCCAAATGCTGCTGTGACAATATCAAAAAATTTTCACTGGAATAGCAAAGCTTTGAACGCGATAGCAACAAATTGTAAGGCTGACAACCAACTCTTTTAGGTCCGATATCGCATAACTCTACAAAACGCTGGTGTAAAAGAATACAGCCATACCAGCGAGAGACGCTCTTCTTGAAGTCTCTTCGCGTTGAGAGCGCAGCACGTAGAAAGGTTCACGAGCTATTTGCACTGATGCCTGCTGTGATTGCGTGCGCAAAGCAATTGCGACCGCACCCTTAGAATGAAAGTTCACGGCTGCTCCTGGAGCAGTCACAGCCTTTACGAAACCGAAACTATAACCATTTCAATAAAACCAAAAAGACAGCCACGTTTACAGGCACGGTGCTGATAGGAGAGTTTGGCGAAGCCGGTGTGGTTGGATGCAAGATGGCGCAGGTAAGTTTGGTGCACAATGGCGCAAATGGTGTAGTTGTTCCACCCCTGACATCCTAAAAATCCTTTGCAAACCAATTTAAACTCTCTACATCAACTGTGTCATTTATTATGAAACTTTAAACATGCAAACTGCAACAGATCGCAGCAGCTCAGCCAAAGGAGTTTTCCATTCTCCACACCCTTCTTACTTATCCCTCTTCCCTCTTTGTGTAGCACTTGCGACCAATTTAACTCAGTCAAGTCCACATCACAGAACCTACGGTGAGCAGGGAGCATCGTCTGCTTGCGTTACAATGTGCTCATTGTTGATGCAAGCTATGAGACTGTTCATCAAGAGGTTTATTTGCCCATAACTACCTTGGCAAACGGTATGTCACTTAATTTGTGGTGCAAATGATTTTATGACACTGTAGCCTAAACGAGGACAATATTTGAAAACTGTTTCAGGGTCTGGTGCACATGCTATGGTTGCTTTTTATTTATTTTGGACAAACTCCACAAGCAAAAATGTCAAGTACACTACCGACCAATAGAAAAACTAAAAGAATTCTATCCTATTCCAAATCTTCGAGAAAAGACACCAATCAGCTAAAAGCCTTTTCATGAAGTAGGTAAAATAAGAATTATGGTCATGATACAATAAATAATGTAATAATGAATTAATTGCAGCACGAGGTCCTGCTATACCAACCAACAGGTAACACCTAATAAGTAACCAAACAATCAAGGTAACAGATGACGTTAAAGTGACAGCATTCTACTGCCAAGGCCATCTATTATCACCTAAGTCGCTCAATTAGTTATATCATATGTAGTGGAAAGTACAAAAAGTATGCTTGTTACCGACGAAATAAGGATAGCAATGGCTGTGATCTACCAAGCCAACTGATGTAATGGTAACTGAGGCACAAGGAAAATTTGTTTTTTTTTTCATTGGCTGAGAATCGGTGTCACACATGGTCGACCCAGAACTTCAAAGAACTATGCGTTGAATTCCTTTTCTCTACCTCGTATGTGTTTCTGTTCCCAAGGCATCACCCACAAAGAGCATAAGCTTTGGGTTTCTAGCAGGGGGAGAATGTTAGTCGCTCAATGTACAGGCGTGGCGAGTTCAACTTCCTCGATTTCACAAATTATGTCCGCATGCTACAATGACTGCCTGATTCGGCTCACAGGATCACTGCATAAAAGGTGCAATGAATGTTCTTTTCAACATTTGCAGTACTCAGTGATGCTACCGAGGTCTTTTGATTTAAAGCAACTTTTGGAGCAGCGAAATTTTCCATTTGGAGCACTTTGGACAGCCAAATTTTCTATTTTGGAGCAGTTTGAATCAGCAAAAGTTTCCATTTTGGAGCAATCTGAAGCAGCTAACTTCAAATCGTGGAGGAGAAGCAAGTTGCATTCACATTCATGGACATGAATTCTTCTGGGGCTCTTGTGAAGAGCTAGAAATATTTCGATTGATTGCAAATCTCATGGAGCCAATCATCTTGAAAGCCCTCCCTATTTCAGTTGATGATGCAAGAATAATGGTGGCGTCACGATGTCGAGCATTCTGGAAAAACTTGTTCAGTGATTATTTCCGTAGCAAATAAAGAGAATATCGGTTGAATAAAATTGTACTTGATGATTGATATGTGGGGTTTAACGTCCCAAAACCACCATATGATTATGAGAGACGCCGTAGTGGAGGGCTCCGGAAATTTCGACCTCCTGGGGTTCGTTAACGTGCACCCAAATCTGAGCACACGGGCCTACAACATTTCCGCCTCCATCGGAAATGCAGCCGCCGCAGCCGGGATTCGATCCCGCGACCTGCGGGTCAGCAGCAGAGTACCTTAGCCACTAGACCACCGCGGCGGGGTGGAGTTCGACTGTACTTTCAACGCAAGCAAACTTTGCAAAAAGTGCTTCACTTTCTAGAGCGGCCATATAAGGGTAAGCACTGGGCCTTGATCGCAAAGCGGCCACACCATTGTCGCACCCTTTCGAAGTCCATTTGTACACGCTGCTCGTGCTGTACATATACAATCACTTATCTACAGGTTTTCCTACTCCCTTTTATCTAAGTGCCAGCTTAAATAATCCACACACCACTGAAATAATCTGAGTGCCAAGCTATTTATTCCATGTGCCAAACATTTAATCCTAGCGCCAACTCAGGTTGCGTGCCAGTGAGCTTAATCCAAGTGCCACCATATCAATCAATCAGCGTTTATTCAATGAACTTAATACAATAGTGGTTACAAAGTATTTGAACCATTAGCTTGTGTGGCTAGTTACTGGTCCAGTCTAATACATGAATATATTTTTACATGTCAGGAGCAGACGAGCACAGGATATGATGATGAATCTTTCGACAAGTTGAATGATTGAGTACCTTCAAAGGCACATTATATATAATTGAAAAC